TTACTAGTCCTAATATCATTATCACTATTGTTATCAGCATCATTAATGGCAGAAATTCATGGTTCACACAGTGTAATCTAATGAATTCATAATGAATCATAAAACCTTGCTTTATGATTCTTCAGCTGCCCCACAGTCAGTCATCCCATATGAGCACACACCTGTGCTTTGTTAACTGTACTGCTGTATGCATCCCCAGTCAAATGATGTTTAGTTTATTTTCTACGTGAAAATAAATGAACACATACTCTACAGAGAACATTAAATATTGCAGTTTCCCTTTTCCTTCTTTGCTGTGTTTAACATATGGGGAAAATTTAAATATTATATGTTCCATAGCTTTTGCACTGACCACTTTTTTTTCTAGCATGTTAAATTCAGCAAATAAACAGTAACTGTGCATTAAAATGTGTAGACATGTGTTCTCTGTAGAGGATGTGTACTTATTTTCAATTCTGTAATTTGATTCTGCAGGCATCTCTGTTTACATTTGTGCCAGAACAAATTACAGAATTATCCAAACCAACAGGTTAACAGTTAACTACATCTGTCACTTTGAAATGTTTGTATTAGGACATAACTAATATTGAGTAATCAACTAACTACTTTAAACAATTAATTGAGTAATCAGTGTTTTAAAAACAAACAATAAAAATGGACCATGCATGAACTCTGGGGAAGTCATGCATAGCTTTTCAAAGATTCCTGAATACTTCATTGGAAAAAGATAAACTAGGAAGACTTAGTAACTAATAAACAAAAAATGCATAGAAATGAGGGTGTCCATCAGGCTGTTTCATACTATATGAGGGACCAGTAGGTGAATTTAAAATATGCTTTATCATCATGTAAACTCTTAAATGCTTAGTCATTCAATCAGTGAAATCAGTCAGTCAGTCAGTAACTCAGAGAGAGACGACGACTCTCGTAGGCTGGACCGCCCAAAAACACTAAGTAGCCAAAAATGCATATAAATGAATAAACACATCGCTCTTGTGTGTTCATCAGACTCTGCGAATTACTGTAAGACAGAGCAGTAAGAGATTTTTAAATCTTCATACAAATTGCAAACAAATCATCGGTGATTCACCAAGAAGGTATTTATTATCCATTTTGTTTTACTGTGTAATCATGACAGACCTATAATTCATCAATTAGTGGAAGCTTTCACCCCCAAGGCCATCATAACAAACTCCAGTTCAGAAGACCCTTGCTCTTGCATTCTAGCTCTGCAATTTTAGTCACTAAAGTTAGCAAACTTTTCATAAAGCTGTATAAATATGATTTACTGTGCTTTCCATGTCTTCAGAAAGAGGAGCAATGTGTTTATTCATTTTTATTTTTAAACAGATGGATATGTTTAGTACCATATGCCTGAGTGTCTAAGTGGAAGAAAAGGCTTATCATACACTTACTCACACACAGACACACTCACTCACTCACTCAGTGAAGCCAGGCTTCATTGTACTGGCTGCTGTCAGCCACCGTCTGTGTGAGGTTTACATCATGGTGCTGCATCGCTCGATAAGGGATTTGGACATGTGAGGTGAACCGCAGCCAGGCAGAGTCCATTTCCCTCACTAACCCTTATGCATCTCTTCAATTACCCACCAGGCGTTATCACAGCACAGCCCTGATTATCACCTGTGAACCCTGCATCCACACCAAAATAAAATTAAATGATTAACATCGCTGTGTAGAACAGCTCAGCACCCTCTGGCCATGCTTTGGGATGCCATTTCCTGCACCTTTCTGTAAGCATCCTGCTCAGGTACAAAAGCCTGTGTCTAAATCCAATGCCATTTAGCTTGTATTAAGCACCACCGTATCCTCTGCATTCTGAAGAATGGTCAGAGAGGTTGGCATGTAATTTGTTTTCACAATCCCTCACTCCAAAGGGCATGAAGCGCTTAATGAACAAGGGGTGACTCATAAAGTGGGCCAGGGGGCTGAGACAGAGGGAGTGCAGAGGGAGGAGTCAGGCTTCAACTGGCTGCTGAGGATTCTGGGACAGGTTAACCCCGTTTCAATATTAGGCTTGTTCAACTTAACAAGGTGCTGCACAGACTGATCTCCTACTGGTCCAGTATGGTGCGCGTCGGTAAAATTTTCTGTCTGAATTGCACCAGCGCTACCAACATGTTATAATGACATGCGCCATTATCGTGGAAGCGAGACGGCTATAATTTTAAGGGCCAGTCAGCGCAGTTGCTCAACTTCCCGGCTGTGCAAGCTGAGAGCTTGATGACGAGAGCCTAATCTTCATTGGCTAGAAGCTCTGCCGACAACCATGTGAACTGTTTTGAATACAGCATGTAGCTTATTAAAATGTGCAGTGTTTATGGTAATGCATTTCACATGTGAAAATCAAATGTATATTCCTTAAAGAAATGTTATTTCTGATATGTGAACACCATGAGAGCTGCTGGCTAATGAGGGGCACTGCTGGTAAAACTGTCCAGCTTGACAGCTCTCTTCTTGACTCCTCCTCCAACTGCTCCTCTCCCCAACCGCCAAGATGAGGCGCAGTTCATCTTGAGCAAGTCCATGGTCTCTAATAAACCCTTGTCAACCTGCCCTCACCATTTCTCTTAGTACCTTCTTAAAGCGCGTTCCATTCCTGTATTAGCTCAAATTAAGTTTGTTAGATGATCCCTTGACTCATAAGTAGACTTCAGCAGCAGAACTTGCCCAGAAAATCACTGCAAGATGACTCAATTTCCTTTTCAAACCAGAGCTTAAATGTTTCAGATCTATAACATTCGATTCACTATTCAAACCAATTTATGTAGAAAGCTTCTCCATCTGCTGTACAGCGTTCTGTAAAAGTTTGGTGCTACTGGTTTAATTCCATATTTTGTTGATTTTTTAAGTGAAAATAAGTTACCAAATCCTCTACAGAGGACACACTTCTGCACATTTATTGCACAATTACTGTTTATTTGCTGATTTAAATATATTGGGAAAAAAATAAAACATAAAAATGTCGCCTATGCAAAAGTTATGTTTTATTTTTTCCAATATGTTAAACTTCTCAGTGAGAAATTGTGCACTTAAATTTGCAGCACAAATGCCAGATTTATATTTGTGGAGGATGCTCGCTTATTTTCACTTAGAAAATCAACAAAACATGTAATTTGATCAGGGGTGTTCAAACTTTTGGATACGACCGTACATGACAACTTATGTAACTTTGTTACTTTACTCTGTTAGCTTGTTAGTTAGCAAGTTAAGGGCTGAACAGCTAGCAACAACAAAACAAGGGCAGTGCACTATGATTTTTATTCGAAACATAAAGCTTAAAACAATTACTCAAAGTTTATGTATATTATGTTTCTCATTTTTTTTCGATTTCTCAAAAATTTAATTTACATTACAAAGTAAGCTTAGCTAGCTAATTAGCACACTTAGCTCACTGAGGGTATGTTGGAGGGCCCTGTTTTGGAGGGAGTGTGTTTTTGTTGTTTTAAAACAGCTCAAGAAGAGTCTTTATTTTATTTAGTTTATTTTTACACTTTTCTTAATTTTCTATCATTTTCTATAATGTGCATCATGGGTTAAATTCTTTAACTGCAGTACAAAAAACTTTCTAGCCTATTTGTTCTGGCACCATATAACAAATAAAATAATGAGAAAACAAAACAATAACTAGTTGTTCTTCACTGTGTTTGCTGTAGGCTAAATGATGCATAAACAACATGATGCATATTTAATTTCTTTTAGAAAAAATAGCTGCAATTGCGAAATAACACCCTAATATGGTGTGTGTGTGCACTCCTGTGAATCACCCTGTAAAGCCTGAAATAATAATTTAAGTCAGAGTCTGGCTGGATTTCATGACAATCTTTCAGACCACATCATACATTTTTACGTATTAATGTCCACACACAGGCTTGATGTTTAGGTCTCAAAAGCAAAATCAGCATTATACTGATGAAGACATGATGACAATACTAGATAATTCATTTACACCCTCGAAAGACACACTCTTCACCAAGTTTTGACTTAATTTGTCTTTGAATACTCTTTCAGTGTGCGTGCATTCATCATATTCATTCACTCAGGGTCCAAAGTACAACCGATGTTACAAAATGTTCCTCCAAATGTTATGTGCAATTAGACATTTCCACCATAGAGATCTCCAAATCCCCAAATCTTAGCTTTAATATAATATCATCTAGTATTACTGTCTTGTTTATCTGCACAATGTGTAATCTGTGTCTTCGTACCTTGTGTGGGCCGTATGGTCCAGAAATCACCGCCCCTACCTTGTATGTGAAGAGGCAGTATTTTGTTTCACTAAATATGGGTTTTTGGCACTTTTTTGACCTTGAATGGTAAAACACAAAGAACTGAACACCAATAACTGTATCGCATTCCAATTTTTTTTGTTTTCAGCCGCACAAGTTTTGTGAAATAAATTGGGATGACATCCTCTTTAACTGCTTTAAAATTCATGTGTTTGCATCCAGATGAAGCTTTGAGATTTCAAAACAACATTACATCAAGGACACTCTCAGCCACATCTGTGCCTATTAGCTTATAGTCCATATTAAACACAGCTCTGGAAAGATATCTAATATTCTACTGTGTTATTTACTGCCTGAACACATGCTTTTATTGCCCACCCATCTGTTAGCCATATTCCGAGAACACCAAAAGCTTTTAAAACTCATTTTAGATGAAAGAGGAGATCATTTCTGTGTGTAATGACAATAGAGGTGACAGTGCTGAGCACACTGTATACTGGCCGTGGTGGGGGGGTCAACTGTTTCACTTTATTTGTGATTTCCAAATTAAAAATCTAATATTGTGTTAAAATTGGCTCTGCATGAAAAAGTGAACGTATGAGTGAAAAAAGCAGGCAGTTTAAAGCCATTTCAAATAGAAGCTTTGCAATTAAATGCTTCCATCTGATCAATAAGTGAATTGGATTTTCAATTGATCTAACCTGGCAGCTGAACCAGCTCAGGCAGTGCTGCTAGATGAATTTGTCTTACCTCCTCGGCCTCTGGGCTTGGCGTCACTGCCAGTTGTGCTCCTGGGGCTTTTCTCACTGCTTCTGAGAAGGACACCCCCATTCCCGCAACAAGTGCTAGAAAGAAAAGAATCAATCAGTGGAGCATTAGCAGAACGTCTTCACATGTTTTTCAAAAAACCTATTCCTTTATGTCAAACCAGCTTCCTTTCTGTGTCTGCTGACCTTTGGACACATCCACTCTCTCAGATCACTGGTTGCAGCAGAAATGAAATGAGGAAAATAGTGTATTTGAGGTAAGGGCACTGAGGACACTTGGGAATCGAAGGCACACAGTGATGAATGGTGAAAGAAAAGGTTGGCTTCAGTCATGGTTGGAAGGACGTTTTGATGTGCTTACAAGTCAAGCATCCAGCCAAGTTATCACCAGTGAGATAAGAACAGGTGACAGAGACGCAAAATATAAAAGGACCGCGACTTTAAAACATTAAGCACCTGGCAATATTTTCTGTACATACCAGAATTTTTTAACACTGAACGGCTGAATGAAACAGAGTGCAGAGAGTCAGGGAAGAGATCGGTCCAGTGCAGGAACAACTTAAAGACAGTATTGCAGAGGCACGATTATTTCCTTTCAGTTGCAGCATTACATAAAAAAAAGTGGTTTTACTCATAATACAGCATTGGTATTTCTTGTATGCGTAAAGTCCAATCCCAACAATGTGTATCATGAAAAAAATTCCTTAAAGTGGTCTATAAAGTGTTTTGGAACAAAAGCTTTCATTTTCTTTCCGTCCATACATGAGATTTCCACATAACTGGAGTTCTTCACATCAAACAAACAAGCTATGATCAGGGCACAGCATGTGCACCTACAGAAGAGGTGGTTATGTAGAATCACTTTTCATTGATTACACTGGGGAGTGTTGGGTACCACGGACACTCGCTGTCAGGGTTGCCCGGCTTGTGGTTTTCCCACCAAATTAGGCTACTTTGAAAATGCTGTCGCAAAAGAAAATTATTAGGTTTCAGCTTTTGGTGGGCTAGAGATTTTTTGCTGGACCTGGCAACCCTGCCCAACACAGAAAATGCTAAAGAATCTTTAACAAAAGACCACTGACTACTGAGAGATGCTTGATGTTAATAAAAACTAAAATTTGGAGTTTAAAATCTTTGGGGATTATCTTCATTTTTAATTAAATAAGAGGTGAAAACAACATAAAATGTCAGGATTGCAGGATTCTCATTCTAGAGTTGCAGAATTCATTTCATGCCTCGTAGTAGTACACAACCAAAAGTGAATCAAGCTTTAGCAATGGTGATTCCGCATGTAAAGGGGAAAAAAGGCAGGAGGACGCTCTGTACTCTTTTATTTTTTGGTTGTATAGTACTGGGTGATCCAGCCCAACAATGAGCCTGTTTACACCTTGTATCAACATGCGTGTTTGGATTTCTCTTGACCGGCCAGGTGTAAACACCCCCAGGATGCAATGTGAGCAGATTACGATCGGATCACTCAAACCACAGTCGGTGAAACGGAAATGATGTGATATGCTTTTTACCCTAGAAAAGTAAAATCGAATCGGATCACTTTACACTGACAATGCATTTTCGTGAAAAATGTAAGGGGAATCTGGCCAAAGTTTATCTAGATATGATCTGGACACAAAACACATGTTAATGCAAGGTGTAAACTAGCTCAAAGAGACGTTTGGAATAGAATGTTCAGCTTACCACTGTGGTTAGCAGACTGTTGTTGCTGGCAGCAGCAGCACATTTTTCTATTGCTATCCCAATGAAAACAATAAATATCTGGTTTGTTATCATCTACCGCCAAAATGTACATTCAGCATTAGAAGTGTTTTAATCACCCTATTTTTAGAAATGTAATCTAATCTAATTACTGTCCTTTTTTGCAACGGAACAGAAATCCGTTACCGTTTTTGTAACCTCATCAAGTGGAACTCTCTTCCACATATTTCGTCACTACCCAAGTCTGTCTAGTCCAGTCTAAATACAGCCAAGTTCCAGATTTCAGGTATGAATTAAAGCTTAGAAACAATGAACAGCATTAGCTCCTGTGACATGTTGGTCAGCAACTCTCATTTCATGTCTAAACCTAACCTGTGAAGATTTCTAGCCTTTAAAAATGTCATAAAAGTGTTTGTGTATACAGCGGAACACCACAGACAAATAGGCCAGACAGTCAAGGATGATCTAACCGACTCAAACATTCAAGCTCAAAAGATTTAGCTGGAGATAGCAACAGCAGCAGAGGACTTTGGAAACAAAAAGACCAATTATTTATATGTTCCTACATTTAGCACTTTCAGCCACCAAAGGTAAAAGCCAACACATTAACAAAGAAGACTCCAGAGGGAAAAAATGCTGCCCTGTTCAGGTGTCACTGCTGCTTCTACAATGCATTATGGCACTGTGACCTTCCAGAGATGCTGGCGGCTGCCTCTGTAACATCCACTAACTCTATGAACCTGTTATCACCCTCTGCTTTTAATGAAAGGTGAATGTTTGTTAGGCCTTTCTTCAGAGCTGTGAAATGCTGCCACCTCTGAAATGTAGCTGCAAGTCATGGAAGAGGGTTGATCACATTCTCAAGACGGGTCCTATAACGCTGTTCTTGGATGTAATAGATCCAAGTTCAGTCATAAAGATGTATGGGTTACAATGCGTTGAAGAAAGGTAATTTATCTTTGTATTATTTTGGCCCAATAATGGTAAACCAAATTTTCTTTGCTGCTTTAAAATAAACACTGTTAAAGTGTTATGATATACTGTTTCACCACCTACATCACACAGTTCCATTGAAACAAGAGGCAAAAACTGCCCATATTGAACTTAATCATGTTGTTGTCACAACCATGAACATATATGATTGCCTATTCTGCCAACAGCAGTTTAGCTGACCATTCACTCTGAAGTGATAAGGAATGTTGTTACTGCAGAGAGTCTGTAGCAGACATATCGAAGTGAAAAATGTGTGTGAAGGGGGGAATGATTAAAGATCCCTTGAACACAAAAGAATGGTTTTAAATGTTTAACTCATCTTGGATCACTTATAAGTCACATAATATATGTTACAATAAAGTATGATTATATAGACTGATATTTGTATTAAAAGTGATCATAGGACATCTGAAAAGAGCAATTTGTGGGGCATTACATAGCAGCTTAGTTTTGTATGACATGAATGAGCTTGATCCCACCTCAGCCCAATATACTATACTCTGCAAATGATAGGATTACGGCATCTGACATGCCTGTGCTAATGTAGCTAACTTGTTTGAAATGTTTGTGTGCAGTAAGCTGTTGACTAAAATAAAAAAATATTGGTATGACAGTGTCAAATTTACAGTCCACATCTGTCTAACAAACTGTCAAATATGGCTTGTAGGGCTGTTCTTGTAACAAGTAGAATGCTACTGCAGTAGCTTAGCATGCTACAACTTTACCACACCGAAGCACAGGTTCATTCTCTCTCATTAACACTTTGTTGACAGAAGTTTAGAGAATAAAGGCTCAAATCTGAGTGGGTAAATCCGTGTATCTGTGTGTGGAACTGCTAATTTACGCTACTTTTGCTTCCAAGTCCTCATTAACACTGGTAGCTACTGTTAGTTTAGCAAGAAGGCCTAAACAGCTTTACACAACAATGCCGGTTCATTCCAGCTCACTAAAGTCTCACTGATGCAAAAGAATAAAGAGAATAAAGACTTTAGACTCATCTGAGCAGGTAAATCTGTGTTTTTTTTTGTATGAACCTGTTAGCATAAGCTACTTTTAATTTAATATCCTTATAAATCCATAGGCTAACTTTAGCTTAGCGAGAAGATTAACCCACTAGCAATTCCGGCTCACTGATACTGGTTTAGAGTATCCTATGCTATTTTTTGTATTCTCCCGTGCATAAGAATTATACCTAACATATTTACCATTTTATTACTCATCACAGATACATTTTTGGTGTTTATGGCAAACTATGCCTTTAAGAGTACTTTAACGTTATGCTTGGTCCTGGCTGACCATTAGTTTCCTTTTGAACACTTTTCGATCCCATTAGGAAACCATCAAAAATGCATTTAGAATCAGCCATTGGTCACCTGTTAAACAATCCTTAACACTGTGACATCAACCCATTAAAAAGACCAAAACATATATATAGACAGATATTTCAGTCTTAAATGAACGGTGACAAAAATCAGCCTGTTCACTTATAAAGGAAAATAACACACACACACACACACACCACTCAGGTCACTGTCTCACACATATAAGGAGAAACTGGGCTCTGACCCCCTTATTAAATTAAGACCACCTTAGCTTACATTTGCTGACATGCTTATTAGTCCGAGTCTGATTAGAGCCCCCATGAGATTTAGTTACTCTTGCAAAAGCAGAAACAATAGGGGGCCACTCAAAGTGGATCACCTGCACTGCTCTCAGTGTCTCACATCTCTTCCTGACCATTAAAGCCAGCAGGACAGCAATACTGATACTAATGCAATCAGGTCAAAGAGAAATTGAGGCAGTGGTGTATTATCTAAGCCGAACCTGTCCCACCCATCTCTATTTTACACTACTGATGGCCACCGCTGAATATAATAAATAACCACTTATGATTAAAACTGAGCCCCGGATGTAATAAAAATGGACTGGCATCGACCAGAATACCGGTCATTCTCTATTGTTCTTGTGCTCATGAGACCATATGCAGACCATTTGCTGATGGCCAGTTCAAACAGAGTCTGCTTTAGCCTTTAATTAACAATCTTAAGATGTCAGCCTCATCTTTCCTTTCTATATGACTGGCTTATGATAACACCAGATGGGGAACTAGGGCAATTAGAAAGCAAGGAGATGATTAATTTGACTCATCTAAGGGTTTATCTAATGATAAAGTTTGTGAACTCTGTATGTAATATCATTTTAATGGTGGGGAAAATGTCATGTCACACAGCACCAAGATAGATAACAAAAACATAACTTTGATGTATGTAACTTGCTGAGTGCCTCATGGACAAAAGTATGTGGACATCCCTTCTAATTAGTGGTTTTAGGTACAGCCAAACACAAAGTAGAATGGGTCCTATTGAACAGCTCAGTGACTTTGAAAGTGGCGCTCTCATTCGCAAAGTGATGGGCAACTCAAGCTTACAGAACGGGTGTAAAAGCATCTTACTTAGGTTATAAAGAACACTACCAAGTCCTAAACTTCCTCCAGAAGCAACACTAGAACTGTTTGTCAGGAGCTTCATGGACTGGGTTTTCATGGTGACCAGCCACACACAAGCCTAAAATTGGCATGCTCAATGCAAAGTCAGCTGGAGTAGTATAAAGCGCACTGCCATTAAACTCTGGAGAAGTGGAAACCTCTGGAGCGATAAATTTTGCTTCACCATCTAGCCATCTGACCGACAAATTTGAATTCTGCAGATGCCAGAAGAAAGCCCCCTGCCCAAATGCATGCTGCCAGCTATAACATCTGGTGGAGGAGGAGTAATGGTCTGGGACTACTGTTCGTATTTGGACCCCTTGATATTAGCGAAGGGAAATCCTAATGCTACAGCATAGAGTGACATTCTAGAGAACTGTGTTCTTCTAACTGTGGCAAGTTTGGAGAAGACACTTTCTTGTTTTAGCATGATGCCCCATGCAAGAAGTGAGAATTATAAAGAAATGATTCACCGAGTTTGGTGTGGAAGACCTTGATTAGCCTGCACAGAGCCCAGATCTCAAGCCATGTTCCAAAATCTAGTGGAAAGACTTTCCAGAAGAGAGGAAGCTGTTATAGCAGCAAAGGAGGGACAGACTCCATATTAATGCCCATGGTTTTGTAATGAGATGCTCAATACGCACATATGGGTGGCAGGTCTGGTGTTCACAAACATCTTGCCAGGTAATGTACATAAGACTGAGTACATAGCAAATTTCTTTTGTGAAAGAAGAGAAGAAGAACTGAACAAATCAAGGTACATCAGGTTTGACATTCTAACAGCAGTACTCAGGAAGCACTGACTCATTATCCTTCTTAATTTAAACTTAAGTAACATCTCATGACTTGATATATCTGGAGAATATCATGATACTGAACTTGATCAATACCACTGTATGTATGCACTGTATCAATTCTGCCACCGGAGTCTCATCAGGATCTTTTCCCCACGAAATGTCTGAGCGTTTGTGAAACTAGAAAGCCCACGTGCTTGTACGATGCTGAATTCATTTAACAGTAATGGACTCTGCACAAATTGCAATATCAAGCTAGTCATGATGTGGCTTTGATCCTGAGTTCTTTGCCAGTGGCTCTCGGCAGGCTGACATTAAAGACAGGTTAATCAGCGCTGAGGTCTCCTCTTTCAGGCCACAGAAAGCACAGGCTGAGAATCGCACGTTAGGCCTCCTGTGAATCACTATAGAGTGGGTGCCTGATGAAACCGGTGATTAGGACATTAGACGCTGCAGCTCGCAGGAAGCTGTTTGAATTAATCGACCACAGAGTCACACGCTATTACATGTTGAACATTTCAGCACCTCACTGTTTGGTGCCTTTGTCAGGATGAAAGTACGTCAGCGCTGCGGAACGTACATAATCATTTTCCTGCCTACTCTACGGTGGCAAGGACAAAAAGCTAGTTAAGAGAAGAAGCTCAGTGTATAAAACATTTTCAGCTAGGAGTATGACACCAAGTCATTATGTAAGTTATTATGTACTAAGTTATTATGTAAATAGTCACATAGATGTCTAGATACCCTACGGGCCAGATGTAATAAGCTTTTTGCGGCAGTTAAAGGCATAAATTGGATGCATTCTGGAGCACGAGCCTAAACCCGCAATTTATGGGCCTTGTGCATACAGTAATGCAAAATATGCTTCTCTCCCTTATGCATATCATCACCGTCCCAAAAAAAAACAAGCATCTCCAAAACGGCAGCTTTACAAAAGAGGGCAAAACATTCTTTACTCTTCATGTAAGTTAATGTTAAGAGATTTTCTAGGCAATGTTGAAGCATTTGTCTTGGTCCAATCACCTTAAAGTTTTCATACAACATAAAAAGCAGCTGCTGTGCTCAAATGATGAACAATAAAAATCAAAAACAGTGACAATGCTGTGAAACTGTAGCGGATTACATATTCTACTCAATTTTTAACATTTGAAAAATTAGTGGTGATCAATTTTAAGTGGAATTTTCCTTTTAAAACCAGCCATAAATTGGCAAAAGTGTGTTGACTTCTTTTGACAATGACAGCAGATACAGTGGCTAAACAGAATGAGCCTTAAAGACAACATTAAAGAATATTTATCACGAGAATAATATTATTTTCAGGATTTTCAGGCTTTAAGGATTGGATGTATGTCCATAATATGCACATGCTGTCACTGTCCACAAATGTTATTTTCTTAACTAGAGTACAATAACAATCCTGAAGAATGTTGGGGTGAAAAAGATTTCATACATTTATAAATCAAATGTTAATTTCAGACATATTGTGAGAACATGCTGTGGCGGCATCTTGCATACACAACTGGCCATATGTGTGAAAAAGTTTGTAGACACCTGCTCATCCAATGGATCTTCTGAAATTATGGGTATTAGTAGGAAGTTTGTTCTCTTTCCTATAGTAAGAGCCTCTACTCTTCTGGAAAGGCTACACTGGATGTTAGAACACTGCTGTGAGGATTTGATTGCATTCAGCCACAAGAGCATTAGTGAGGTCAGGTACTGATGTTGGATGATCAGTTCTGGATCACAAACTGCACTCTAACTCATCCCAAAGGTACTGGATGGAGCTCCATCACTCTAGAGAAGGCAGTTTCTCTGCTCTTTAGCACAATGCTGGGGGGATTTATACCCTCTTGGCTGGCACTTGGCCCTGGGGTATGGTGATCATAGGCTCATGTGTGGCTGCTTCAGAGCATTCCATTGTATTCGCAAAGCTTTTGTATGGAGACTATACAAGTTTTGAGTGCCTAATTGAACACCTGTGTGCACCTTAAGGTAGCTGATAATACACTAATTAGAAGAGCTGTTGTTTTGTCCTAGAGCCTAATTCTATCATGGGTTATTAGGAATGTGGCATCACATTTGTGCACTTTATTATGTCCGAAAAGAAAGAAGCTGAAGTTGATTAAACAAAAGTCTGGAGACAGCACATTCAATGTTGCCAACTTAATACACATTTCACTGTGTGATGTATTACCTGAGAATACATACATGACCGGCATACAGACATGGCAGCTTAACCCGCCCCCCTGCCCCTCCACACGATCTAGGTGGTGATTGTATTCATCCAGTAGACTGTTACGTAGGCTCTCCAGTTTTAAATAAATAGAGCGGCGTGGAGGTCAGGAGTGCAGATGCATCAGCAGTCTCTACGGAAATGGCATGACATTTTCCAAGCAAAAGAATATAGCTTGGTTGCGTCTCCTACTCTTGTTTAATTATCAAAAGCTTGTTGCTGGGAATGCTATGCGGAAATTCGAAAAAACCTTTTGAATTTATGAATTACAGGACAAAAACAACAGCGGAAGTCACTTCTTCTGCAGATTTCTATTAAAAACATCACTTGTGCTGCTTGGCAAGAGCATTGGTGAACACAATTAAAAAAGATGCACAAAATAAAAATAAATAATAAAACAGTTATTAAAGTCTAATCCAAGGACGTAGCTCTCTAAAAGCCCTCCACTCAATTGCAGTAATTAAGCATGAGGATGTATCACATTTGAGTGGGCAGTTTTGGGAGAGTGGTTGGAATGGCTCATGCAGGATAAGCGAGAGCTTTTAAACAACTCCCTTCATCACATCATATTAACGTAATCAGATTGACGAGTCTGTCTGGCTCACAGTCCTGACAGAAGCAACGAGACAGTTGCTCAAGAATTATGATCAAGCATTCTTAAGGAACAAATTTCTGCCTGTATGTGACTGAGTCAATGCATAGAGCAATATGGCACACAATACAGTTACACTCTACCGGTTACAGAAGGGAGAGTTGGACAGGATATTAGGAATTTAGAATGTAAATTCTCTTGATATCTTAATGTCTTTTAAAAGCTTTGGCGTGTCCATATCCTACATTGCCATTAAGAGGCTAAATTCAACAGCAGCACGCACAGAGGAATACCTTTAAAACCATTTTATTATTCAAAAAGAGCAAAGTGAAATCAGTAGGTTTTCAAGCTGGATGAGACAGATGCTGCCTCTTCAGATGAGCTAAGAAACTAAACCTACAAACAACCGGTACAATGTCGATGATTCAAGACTCTGTGTTTTCAACAAGGGGTCTTGTTAGTTTATCAGAAAAATATGTTTTCACTGTTTCTGGACCTAGGCCGCATCAGCTAGACTACTTAGCCTAGTTAACTAAAAGCCATGCCACAGATACTATGACTAAGAAGGTTTTTTTTTTTAAATAAGAAACTAACTTCAGATTTGATCTGCCTTTTTGGTCACAACCTTAACTTATGTGTCCTTTGTAACAAGCTTGCATTAAGGCACTCATATTCCATTGTGGCAAAGTATAAGGTAATACATTTTCTTGCAAATACAAGCAAAACTGTCAGTTTTTACAGGCCTGTTAAAACCCTGAATAACCAAACAGTTACGTCAGTATTGGGATACTGGCACCTCAAGTGGTGAACATCTCTAGCATGGACTGTGAACGACAAGATAAAAAATGCTTGCATCTTTAATGAAACTCTATTTGAAAATAGCACAGATTTTTTTTTCAATGATTTGAGCCCTTTAAGGCTCAGCATTTACAATACAGTCATAAATAGACATATTTTTGTCAGACGTTACATATTTGACATTTACATTGCAGCCGTTGCAGTAAACATTTACATCACTGAAGAAATGTCTATTGCTCAAATACAGCTGTAGATCTTACCATGCATAGCTCTGTAGGCACAGCCTAGACAAGCAGAGTTGGCCACATCAATAGTGTATACTGGAGCACTGAAGATGTCAGACAGAACCTGCAGCAGAACAGAAGAGGTAAAATTAATCTGTAAATACGTTCTTGCTACCACACTCCTAAAGGGAAAATTCCACCAATATTTATAATTCATGCATATCTCAATATGTTAAGATGTGCACAACATCATTCGGGGTGGTTTGATGTGAAAAAATCTGTTCTAGTGAAACTTGCCAAGTCAGAACTGTTCACACTGGTTGTGATAAGAACCAGACATCCATAATGGTTGATGCCTTTCAAAGCTACATCACAGAAAGTTATTAGATGAAATGCTTACAAATAAAATGTCTGCCATGAATGGGTGTGTAAAATACATATTTTAAGTCAAAATCTCCAAACTATCGTAAAATGATACCTCAAGCATCAAAGAGGTACATGAAGGGTGCTGTAAGGCAGATTTATCACTATTTTGTCATTATAAACATTACATATATAAACTCAAAGAAGTTGTGTAGGTTCACTGGCAGTATTAGACAGTGAATGAAATGGCTATATTTATGCTGTAGACATCGTAAACCTACCACTTTAAATAAACCAGAATCTTTGGGTTTCTCTACATTAAACTATTTCACATCAAACCACTCTAAATGACTTTATTTACATCTCATTAAATGAATTGTACAGAAATTTTGAAAAAATTGGTGGAATTGCCCTTTAAAATGAAAGGTTCCTAAATGGTACTGGGCTAGGCTATATGTTACTAGGTAAAAAATAAACTTTAATATGGAGCCTTCACATTATATGGAAGTTCCTGAAACTCTGAAAAAGTTCTTACATGCTGGCACATCTTAGCTACAAATATGGTTCTTTAATAAATCACCCACTGAAAGGTTCTTTAGGGTCCAAAGGTGTTTTTTCTATGCCATCACTCCTAAGAACACTTTGTTCTCATTTAAGAAGTCGGAATACCGTCTACACAAATCATGCCACTTGAAATCGCAATTTACAGCACCAAAACTCCCTAATGCCAACATATCTGTATTGTATGAAGTGTACTTACATGCAGGCACACATCACCACTTCCTGGTACAGACTTCACAGCAAATAATGTACTCAAGGAGATGCCTTGTGTGAAAACCCTCATATATGCTTTGTTATGTAACTAATTATGCGACAGCCATGAAACACCTGAACAGATAATTGTTCAGTAACTTCATAATTCCCTGAAAAGGGCTTTGATGTGATGTGCACGGCTGAGCCAGTATATAGCTGTATATATTCTTCAACTGCAGCAGACCCTCTGCTGACATTCATCATAGTTTCTGTTTCAATTCAAATCCAAACTGCTCAAGCGCAAAGCCAAAACAGCAAAGATTTGGCTGCCTAATTACTAATGGACTGCACTGTTTGTGCACAATATGGTGTTTGCAAGATGAGCAATCAATAGTGCAGCCCCAAATAAATGTTCCCATCACCACATTGTTTTATCCGAGCCCAGAATCAGCCCTGCATTAAATTTTATTTTCTCTTTCTCTATCTTTCTTCCTACACGGTAGTCCATTTTATGTAATTATATTTTAATTATAGCAGAATGATAATATATGTAATGATGTGTTATAAATTTTTATAACAAAAGTTTTTGCTACATCGATTGACTAAAAATTCCAAATAAAGCACTGCGACTGCCATTATTTGTTTCTCCCATTAAACTGACGTCTTACCACCACTGAAAAGTAAAAGCAGAACAAGCATGCACTTAATTTAATTCAAATAAATGGTGGTGACTTGCTTCTAGAGTGCTATTTCAACTCCTTTGACAGTAGTTTTTTCATTGATGGAAGCTGGGCGATTTCATTAAGATTCTGGGGAGAGGGAACAAGGTGCTACTATCATCAGTCAGAACCCATTTACAGAACAAACTGTCTCCAAAACTCACTCTGTTCTGCACACTGCACACTGCAGCTACTCCATAAAGGCAGAATGAGAAAGTTCATTCTAGCAGTATAACGATTTTGAGGTCAAGATTTGATTTGATTTTCAATATTTGATGTATTAAAATGTCTTGATTCTGCAGAGCTCTAATTAGACATGATGCAGAGTGATTTGTCTCAGATAAATAAGTTCTTGAATTAAACTTTTCAATATCTGCCTCTCCAGCCCAAAGTAAGCCTAAACAATCACAGTCGGTAGCATTTTTTTTTTAAGTGACATCCGAGTAATTGGATCATGCTTGTGCAATTGCTTAAGCCCCTCCCCCTTCCCCACCCACTTTAATCTGATAGGATCCTCCCAGAGGCCTACAGTAGTTTCTGTGAAAAACAGGTTAACGGGCAAATCATTGATACACTTCTAAGTTTCTATATACTGTTTCAAATTCTCAGTTTTCAGATTCTTCGATACTGACTTGAAATTATTACAAACTTGATCCCACATTTGAACTTGAATTAAAAGCAAGAACTCCACATTTGGAAATGCTGAGCTTTTTACTTTATATGATTCCTTTAACAAAAGCTTGTGACTATCATATTAGTGATAATCATCACATCAGAACAAAGCCTTCAGTCCAAGCTGGGAAGGCAGGTAAACTGTAGTCTAAAAAAATCCAATAAGAAAAAAACTGAATGAACTCTGGAGCAGCAGCAACACATTCTGTGGAGTGATCAATCATGCTTCACCATTTGGCAACCTAAATTATACTGTGAGTTTTCTGCCTGAATGCTGAGTGCCAGTTTTAAAGTTTTGTACAGGGAGAATAATGGTCTGGGGCTGTTTTTCATGGTTTGGGCCCAATAGTTCCAGTGAAGGGAAATCTTAAAGCTACAGCATACAGTGACATTCTAGAGAACTGTGTGGTCTGTCTGGGGAAGGTCATTTTGTCTTTTACAATGACACTCAACCAGTGCACAAAGCAAGCATGATAAAGAAATGGTTTGCTGAGTCTGGCACAGAAGAACTTGACAGGCCTGCACAGAGCCCTGACCTCAACCCCATCCAACACCTTCGGGATGAAGTGGTGACTGCAATCCAAGCCTTATTACCCAACATCAGTGTATGACTGACTGAAAAGAAGTGCATCCAAACAGTCATGTTTCAAAAATCTGGTGTAAAGCTTTCCCAACATAGTGGAGGCAGCTATAGTAAGAAAAAGGCAACCAACTCTATATTAATGCCCATGGTTTTGGAACGGAATGCTCCATAAGAAAAGAATGGATGTGATATTGGGTTATCTACATACTTTTGGCCATGTAGTGTATCCACTACAGTATAAAAACATCTAGACAAAACACTGTGGTCGCTTAATATTTGTGTTCTTTGTTTTATGCTTGGGGACAGATGTACTTAGTGCATGCAAATACAGAGTACATTAGCTATGCTCCACAAATCTCTCTCTCCAAAGCACACCAAGTAAGTACTGTACATTCATAAATATGTATGCATTAAAGCCCAAGGCCTGCAAACAAAAGAATGCATACATTCATGCAATCACAGCAGTAATCCCCACCCTTCCTTCATATACAAAACAGCATACCCACAGATGTATACATACGTACAAAGAGTAATGTTAGCAGAGGTGAGGGTGCACTGATATCAAGCCAAACACAGCTGTGGTCCTCTACAGGCAGATAGAGTTCTTTTCAGATAGCACCTCAGGGATGAAAACAATCGCACACATGTGCACTGCTGTTGTTCATGTTGCTCCATGCGCAACAGTTCAGAGAATGTAATTTAAATTCTATGAAAAGAAAGTACTGGGAAACCTACAAAACTGAGCTTTTCAGAATTCGTATTGAGGTCAAAAAAATAAGCATGCATTTGTCAAGCTATTTTTTCCTTCTTTGGCTGCATACCTGAAGAATGTCCTTGTTAGACGAGGCCCCTCCCGTCGCCAGCACACGCGTTCCTGGAACTAAAAATGAGGAATACATTACGGTAATGTCAAATGCAAGGCAGTGCCTCAGGTGTAGAGTGTTTGGAAGGTTTGTGTGCGTGTGCACGCGTGCATTATATATTCCTGTAACAATTCACGTATTGGTTCTGCTGACATTTTTCTTCAAAGGCTAAATTGACAAATTAAGCTTTATTCTATTTTTTTGGCACTAAGTGGACTGAATTCAGTGGAGAGCCACAAAAAAAGGTCATACATCTTCTTAGTGGCCAAGCTACAGATGCGGTTCTGATACTACATAAAGCAGACCACAGTTTTTCTGATCTTTCTACAATAGGCACAACCTCAACCTTATTCTCATTTGGTGGGCAAAGGGCTGTTGTCATTAACTGTTTTTTTAATAGCCTATAATGTATTCATTTCATCATCAACATCACTTTTTGAATGTTTGTAGTGGTCTGCCATGTATATGCACCACATATTTTCAGATATCATCATTGAAATTAGTGTTTTTATAAGACTACATAGCTAATATTAGCACTTAGCACTAGTAACTACCAGCTGAGGCTACCGCCTACCTAGTGGTCAGCCACTACGAACGTAGTAGTAGTGGTTGTCAGATACCACAGACATGACAAGCATCTTATTGCTGTTAGAATGGGCTGACAAATTATTAAAATAATTAATTTCACAGAAATGTTTATCAAAATTATTACGTTCAATAATTCAATTACATTATTTTCACCTCTGAATGCAAGGTTCAAATAAACATGCAGTCACAGGGTTTTCCAAACAATGTTTCCAATTTTCGTCATGAACTTCCAGTAAGAGCAACAGTGGTCACACATTCCAACTCCTCCCCGACTGTAGCACTCACGCTCATACAGCTTGTGGATTCTTGTTTCAGCGGAGGCTCTTGAGGTGAACTGTAGCTTTCCAGTTTACTGCTTGTTGGTATTTCTTATGCGAGCACTGGCCAGTTTAGTCTGGTATTATTATATTACTGCCTCAGCTGTGTGTTTTACTTACAGAATGAAATATGGTAATTTTCAAAATAAAGCCTACCACAATGATTATGTCTGGTTTATTAGGAAAAAAACAAACAGGCTACCACTGAAACTCATGAAAACCCTGCTGAAAAAAAATGGTTTTGCTTCCTAACAGGAATTGGCTTAATTGTTATTATTATAGGCCATTGGTTTCCTGTAGGACACCTCTAGATTCCATTAGGAAATGCATGTAGAATCGGTCATAGAAGACCTGTTAAACCATTCTGTGTGTAAATCTTTTACATTGTGATATCGCAACAGCATGTGTTTTTCAACAGTGAAGTACATTAAGTGGAATTCTCCAATATTATGTACGGAAAATAGATTAAGTGATTATATTGCTAAGCAGAAGCAGGCAAATGTTAATGTGCTGTTGGCCAATTCTGCCATTGTGGCAGACAGTGCATGTGACGTCACTGGTGCTGAGAGTGCATGTCAGCAGCCAGACTCTTTTGAAAGAACCATCAATGGAACTTGCCATTTTAAAGCTGTATTTGAATGAGAGGGCTAGAATCATGCAATCATAGTGTGCAATCAGCTGGGCTTCAGCCTGAGCTACTTCAGATGTTTCAAATGGTGAAAATATGTTACTGACATTAACAAAAGTAGTAGCACAAATAATTTAAAAGCATTAAAAACACAATTTTACACCATTTGAAAATGCCAGTTGCAATTTCCATTGTCTGAAAAATGTATGATGAATGGACTAACAGGATAGGTCCAAAATTACTTTGAATAAAATCTTGTGACGTTAAAAACATTTCATTTCTTCTCCTGTACGGTTACCATTTTGGAGACCTGAGGTTTTGTTCCATTGCAGACACCAAAATAAGTGCGTTCATATGTCTGCGAACCACTGGCTAAGAGCATGCATCAGTTCAGAGAGACCTGACCTGAGCTCCCTCTTTCTCCAGCATTCTGGATGCTCTATCTGTCGTGCCCTGCAGTTCTGCAAATCCAAGCATAACTATGATCCACGTATGCTGCCATCGCTCCCTACCAGAGCCGCATGAAAGGCCCACAATGGCTTTTCTCCCTCTTGCAGCACATTATCATCACCTCGCACAGCCACGTGGCACTACCCCTTCCTGCGTACACTATTAAAACCTGTCACGCCGCCGAGTGTAGCCTTGGGGTGCCAATAAGAATGAAATGGATCCAGTCTGAGCCTTGCACGATTGATTTGTTGCTTCGTTCCCGCTCTTTCATTGACCATCAATGACGGCTGTACATCAAAGGTCGGGGTAGGGAGGAAAACCAATTATAATTACACAGAGAGAGGGAAGGAAACTGCACTACCATGTAGGAGGACGTCTAAAGCAAGAGAAAGAAAGAAGAGAATATAAAAGTCTGAGTTAATGTAGGGCTGATGGTGGGCTTAGATGAATGGATGTGGTGATGGGAAGGAAGGGCTGCCAAATCTACTGTTACAGAATGAATATGCGTGTTCTCTGATTCAAACAGTCCTCTCTTTGCAATACTGAACAACTGAGAAGCCATAATAATAAGTGATCATGAGAAAAGAGCAAGTTCAAATTCAAGGTTATATAATAGCAGAGCTGAAAGCCTTAATCTGAATGCTGTAAAGACACAAAGACATGAATCTCTCTTTGTAGAACTCTATAAACCTGCTTTTTGTATATGAACAATACTAGGATTACCAAAGATCCAGAATCCAAAAGAACATTTGGGGGGCTGATATCTTTTCTGTCTTCACCCGGCGCACTGTCAATAACCTCTTGGCTATTACTATTGACAGCGACAGGGCTGAAGTAAACATGTGGCTGCACCGAGCTGTTTACCTTTGCATCTTTCATCTTCTGAGAGAAAGAAATCGATACAGCATTGCATGTAGGAACACAATGGAACCGCAACAGAGATTTCTCCATATTCTCAGGCCGGGTATTACTTAAGCCCTGTTGGACAGCTCATGATGAATTTAATACCAGAGCACATTACGAGTGGATCTGTCTAGATTCGTCTAGATTGACATTTACAATTAAAACAATAACAACAACAAAGCAAACCAGAATCAGGCCTGTTTCTCAACATAAACGTGAACCTGACATCCACACTACTACAGAGAGTTTCAGAACTAGTGGAGCATTTTCACTGGATGGTAAGTGGGGGTGGTGAGAGAGGGAGATGAAACATGATATTATTGGTTAACATTGGGCCTCATTCTCCAATATCTTCCTAAGTTTTTTTTTTGTTTTTGAGAAAGGTCCTAAGAAAAAGTCTATGTCAGATTCATGACGTGTTCTTAAATTGCAGAATTGTTCGCACGTTGTGCTCTTGCGAGTGTGCAGATTCTGTTCTTACCTAAGAACAAATCTCAAATAAGAAAATGCTGGTGAATGTCAGAATCTTCATAAAAACTGCATATGTAGGTTTCAAGAAGAAATTTCTACTTAAGAATAGTTGGTGAATGAGGCCCATTATTTTTCTACTGCCGCTGATGCATGACAATGTAAACAAAAATCATGACGATGTTTCAGAGTCAGGGAAACGTCACCAATTTCCTAAACAACAACTTTCCTTTAAATATATGATAACCGATACTTAATGTGCCCAAGCAGATTGACTTTAAGTTACACACAACTTACATCCAGCACTGGAAAGTACAACCCCATTTCCAAAAATGTTGGGATGCTGTGCAAAATGTAAATAAAAACAAAATGCAGTGATGTGCAAATCATTTAAACCCTGTATTTCATCCTGTGCAAATCATTTAAACCCTGTATTTCAAAACAGTACAAAGACAACATATCACAAATGTTGAAACTGAGAAATTTGATTGTTTTTTGAAAAATATATGTCCATTTTGAATTTGATACCAACAACACGTTCCAAAAAAGTTGTGACGGGGGCATGTTTACCACTGTGTTTCATCACCTCTTCTTTTACCAACACTCTGTAAGTGTTTGGGAACTGAGGAGACCAATTGCTGTAGTTTTGAAAGTGACATGTTTTCCCATTTTTGTTTAACATAGGATTCAACTGGTCATCAGTTAAGGGTTTCCTTCGTCATATTTTTCATTTCATAATGCGCCAGATGTTTTTGGTGAGTGACAGGTCTGGACTGCAGACAGGCCAATTTAGCACCCAGACTCTTTGAATACGGAGCCATGCTGTTGCAATACATGCAGAATGTGGTTTGGCATTGTCTTGCTGAAATAAGCAAGGCCTTCTCTGAAAAATACGTCATCTGGATGGCAGCATATGTTGCCAAAATATGTATATATATATTGTTCAGCATTAATGGTGCCTTCACAGATGTGCACGTCACCCATACCATGTGCACTAATGCCCCCCATACCATCATGAATACTGGCTTTTGAACTGTGCACTGATGTGAGATGAGTGGTCTTTAGACCGGAGGACACAGTGTCCACAGGACACTTTTCCATGTCCCCTCAGTCCATTTTAAATGAGCTCGGGCCCAGAGAAGGTGTTTATGTACGGTTTCTTCTTTGTGTTTTAGAGTTTTAACCTGCATTTGTGGATGCAGAGACGAACTGTTTTCACAGACAGTGGTTTTCAGAAGTGTTTCTGAGCCCATGCAGTGATTTCTCTACAGAATCATGTCTGTTTTTAATGCAGTGCTGCCTGAGGGCCCAAAGATCACTGCCAGCAAATACTGGTTTTTGGCCTTGTCCCATGCATACAGCGATTTCTCCAGATTTTCTGAATCGTTTAATGGTATTATGTACCAAAAAGCAAAGGATCTCTGCTATTTCATGTTGAGAAATGTTATTCTTGAATTGTTGCACTATTTGCTCGTGCAATCTTTCACAGAGTGGTGAACTTCTCCTCCTCATCTTTACTGCTGAAAGACTCCGCCTCTCTGAGGTGCTTTTTTATACCCAATCATATTACTGCCCTGTTGTCAACTGACCACCAGGTGTGTTTTTTTTTTAGCATTACACAACTTTACCAGCCTTTTTTTGCCCCTGTCCCAACTTTCTGGAA